GCTCATTTTATTTATGCTGTAGATATTTATTAAAACTCATCTGATACAAATCACATAAGCATAAAGGACGTTCGAATGTTTAATCTTTTTCATCCTTATATGTATCCTAACACGCACACACACACACACTCTTCTTTCATTTTAATAGTAATACTGATATATATATATATATATATATATATATATATATATTATATACATACATATGTATATATGTATATATATATATACATTTATATCATTATATACAAATATGTGTTAATTCATATGCATACACCTACATGAATATCTTCTATCCAATATATATAAATATTCATAGATCAGGTAATAAATAATTTATTTACGTTTGAAGCATTTGAAAATATTTACAATTATGCCGATTGAATTTCATAATTTTTATAAAAAAGTTTTACGAGCAAAGTATTTAATTTTTTCGCGACGATTTAGTTATTCAAAATTATAAAATACTTGAAAATGGCGTCTCCATTATTCATCACTGTCATAATAGCGTCGAATGCAGGCAGAACCGAGCACAAACATTCATACCTAGCTCCTCCCACTTTTAGTGTTCCTGCTTCCTATTGGTAGGTCGATATTGTTTGGACGAATGAACAGCCAATGACAACTGTTCATACGCGTACACGCATGTTTGTTGAAAAAGAGATTTATTTAGAGTCTTCCATGTTATTTCATCCTTCAAGGAACAAACACACACACACACACACAAACAATGGATACTATTTATCTATTTTTATTTCATGTTTCTCGCAAACAAACATTAATATTTACATCAAGGGAATATCCTGTACATCAAAAATATGTTTAAAATGCTGAAAACAATTGAATAAAACAATGAAATGAACCTGCACAATGATTTAATTACGAGGCCATATTGAACTGAACATTTAATTAATTTTTAATTTATACAAACAACAGATCCGTGGTGGGTCTAGAAAATTTTAACTAAAATGCCAAATGTTGAAAATGTTTAAATTTTGACTTAGGGATCAAGATATGGTAGCGGGGACAAAACAGCCAAAATTATACCTGCGGTGTTATTGTTATAAAACAGTGCTTCTTCTGTGCAAAAACTGAGTTTTACTGACTTTTTCTAGAATGTGACCACAAAATATGGAATAAACAAAGAACACGAATCACATAAACTCGTAATGAAACGGCAGAAGAACAGACTCATCACAGTAGCAATTCCTGTTACGTAACATTTTCTCGCCCTTCGCAGGTTACGTAAGATACCACGTGATAATATATCACGCTATCAGATAACATGTGATATTATATCACGCTATATCCTATTTATCAAATTGCATAACATTACATTCTATAACATTACATGACATTACATTCTGTAACGCAACAACATTTCATCCGGCCACAAAAAACCGATCCACTCGTTTCAATCTGACCACATAATTAATGTTACTATAATACATCGCCTATATTAGTTTTATTTAAGTTAAATTATGCTATATAATTGATCAAATTGTCATTAACTTGAATAACCTAAATTTGACCACAGTTGAAAGTGTTGATACAAAATTGTTTGATTTACATCAATTAAATAAATGTTTAGTTTTCATCTCATAGGCAACTATTTTGCAATCAACATGATATTTTTTCTCTGTTCATGAATGTTAAAAATTCACAAAATTTGAATAATATGCAAGGTATGAAACGTTAAAAATAAAAATCATGACCAGCAAATATTCTACAAATAAAAAGTATCCCGTCGTCATCATCATCATCTTCATCCTCTCCATTACCAACAACAAAATCATTTCCATCTTTACAATACAAACTTTTAAATTACTGACATCATAAAAAAAGTCATCATCGTCGTCATCATTATCATCAAAATCATTACACACGTAACTTGATATTTTGATACAGTGATCTTATATTATTTCCTACCCCACTCATCCTACTGGATATCCATCCAACCGTCTTTCCATCCATGCATTCCTCTCCTCCATTCATCCATTTATGCATTTTTGTATTCATTAACCCATACATCTACCTACCCATCTATCCTTCTATACATCTGGATACATTTTTTATAGCGGGTATATATATATATATTGTACATTTGTATTGGATAACATCTGTGGGTATTGAGTTTCGAGTAAACACGACATCAACCGTTTGGTAAGTAACCTGGCATCAATATCACTGCATCTATTAAAAATGTTTTAAAATCATCCAATCACTTGAAAATTTACAATAACATGCAACAAAATTTAGAGTTAATATCGTAAGCTTTACCTGGGTCGTCATTTTATTATATTTTAAGCATTTCAATTTATCATGTACGTTTCTATTTAGCTTGTACGTACTTTGCGTTTCATGCAGTCTTTTAGTTTTGTCCATTTTCTCTAAAAGCTTTTAAAGCTTCGCGTTTTAGAAGTTTTTCGCTGCCCTCACCTGTTCTCAGCTTCTAGCACATTTTTTTAAATTATGAGGCAAGCTCCATTTCGGTCGTACGATATTTACTGTGGCAAGTTTGTGTGGACTGAACGTGACTTGATGTTCCGTTAGAAGAGCTGAAAATTCATCCTTTTCTCCTCCAAAATTATGAAAAAAACCTTCAAAAGACCAACTCAGGCTATATTTTTTGGGAAAGAAATATCTTCGCACTGAAATTCATCACCACTCGCTGGATTTTTACGACAAATATTTAACTTTGTATGGAAATTTAGCAGTGAGCTAAAAGTGCGGACGAATTGTGTTGCAACACTTCATTGTACCAGGAAAACATAATTTAACTGGCAAGAGCTATTTTATAATTAATAACAAATAATGTTGAATTAATAAATTAATAAATTTTATTTTTATAAAACTGAATGTCAAAGATCGAAAAATTTTATATTGTCTTAAAGTGCAGTGCTTCTCAATCAATTGTACAGTTGCAACAATCAGGCGCGTGATCGTGAAGATTTATAGGAGTTAGTTTTTTTGGTTTTCATTTGACTGAAAAGGACAGATGGGCGTAGTTTATGGATGTTTATTTTTCATTCAAATTTGGCATTTTACATCAACAAATCTGTTTGATTTTAATTTTTAAATAACAATAATTAGTTCAAAAAAATTGTCTAAATGTTATTACATTTTATTTTAAGGGCGTTTTTATAATTTCAATCACCAAAAAGTTCTTTTAGGCTATTGCACATTATCGTTTGTTTACGAGAATTGAAATTTCACTGGTAGAAGTAATAATGTCCACTGTTTGAAATGAAGAACCTGTGCAGCCAGGTCATGAGGATGTAGAGACCTGCAGCTCCGAGCACGTAGAACGGTCTGATCATTTGGCGATCATCACTGAACCAGCCATCGCGACTTCGCAGCCTGACACGTGATCTATCGTCCGTGTGCTGGCCCCTGTCTCGTGACTTTCGGTGAAAAGATGGCGAGCGAGTGTTTCCATGTAGGCGGTTGACTCTCTGGTAGGTTGTTGACACGTTTGTACCGGAAGTAGTGGCAGCAGCCTTTGATACGTTTTTCAACGATTCATAAACTTTCAACTTGGTGCTGTCCACTTCCAATAAAATGCCGCTACCATCCTCATCTTCCTGGGCAGAGGGTATTTCCATGGAAGAAGTTTTGTGAGATGAAGGAGGCGAGGAAGATTTGGGCGGGAATGGCAAGTGCAGAGTTTTTGCGTCATCATCGACAGTTTTCTACAATTTATACAATGAAAGATAAGATTCATTTTTAAGTGGCTCGTTGTAGTAATATTTTAATTTTATGACATATCAACGTTATCATTAAACATATAAAGCCAAATTTGTTTAAAAAATCGATCGATTTATTTTCAATGAATAATAAATGTTGGTTCTTAAAAATTAGAGACGCTAACACTCAACACTCAGACTATGAGAATATCAGAAAAGAAATATTGAGCATGCCATAGAAATGAATTGTTCGTGAGAATAAGAAATATTCGGTCCATGTGGTTGGTCAGCACTTTGAATTTCAACGTTCAATTTTATTACCGTTGCGTAATATACAGCAATGCTATAATATTGCGTAACAAAGTGGCATCTAGCGATCTTCTTTCCACTTTATTAACCACCAAGCAACATTTACTTGCAGTATAATAGCTGATTTTCAAAAGCGTCTCCAGCCAACATAACTACATAACCACCGCGATATTGCAGCTGCCTTTACTATGTAGCAATAATAAATAACTACAGCAAGCTTCATCTATGGTAGTGAGATGTGGTGATGTAAGGTGAATCACTTCAAGTTGATTGCTAACGAAACTAACAGTATTTGTCTTCTCTTCCTTTTCATTCTTAGAACCAGTCGGCGAGTCCTCCATTCTGGAATGCAATAATGTCGCCAGAGTGTGAATGTTGGTTCTACTAACTAATTCTACTTTTTTTGTTAATAAAATAAATATTATCGCATTTTGTTTGTTTATTTGGATGTTACGTTATGTTTTGAGTAAAATAAAAAATTGTTATATACTGTCAATTTTTTAAAGATGTCGTTTTGTTCATCAAATTCATATTTTAATATTATTATGTCCACAATTTACTAATTTATCCACCCGACATCTTAATTTAATTTCTCGGTATTTCGCGCTTCATAACACTTTTTTTTATTGAGTTAACTTTTAAACATTGGTTTTTGTATATCGATCTGCTGTTTGTTTTGTTTGAAAAATTGGCGATCGCCTTTCTGAAAATTTAAAAATTACTTTTTTGTAACACGAAACCGTTTTCTTGTTTTATTCTTTTTTGAAACAACTTTATATTCATGGCCGATTTGAATGACATTAATCTCAACGAAAGTGATCCGTTCAAGGTTTTGTTTTTTTTAATTTTCAAAGTTAAAGTCTAACTCTCTAAATGGGGGAAATACTAAATTAAAAAATTCATTATATTATATGTTTTTAATTTTTATTGTCATATTTTATCATATCATGTCACTGTTACAGCGTTATAGTATGTTAAAGTGTGTGTTTGTGTGTGTGTGTGTTGCTATCAGACATTAGTTTTACTTTTTTCTTATAAGAAAAATTATGAAAAATTAACTTATGTGTGAGATTGATATTATATTATCTTAACTATATAATATATAATTATAATGTAAAAAGCCACATAATAATCATAACAATTTACTTACATTTTCAGTAATAATTGTGGATAAATTTTTCATGATAGATATAAAAAATTAAAAAATTATTTTTAAGGATGAGTCAGTGAAAGAGGCAACTGCTCAGAAGGACGACATGCCTGCTGAACTTTCATACAATCCATTTCAAGCTAATAGTGTTGGTTTACTTGTCGGTGTTTCTTACACTCAATTATTTGTTTCTTTTTTAAAATTTATTTTAAATTTATTATCTGATTCATGGATTGTTAATTTATAATGAAATAATCTTATAAATACGATAGGTTTGTAATTATATGTCTTGTTTTTTTAATAAAAATTTGATAACTATTTTTGTTTGTCTATTTTGTTATTTTGTATTTTTACTGATATCAAACATTTTTTATTTACACTAAAATTCAATTTTTAAAAAAAATTTATATTTTATTAAAACTTTTTTATTTTTGCTGAAGAATTCATCAGCACCAAATGACCATTACAAGCACGGCCCACCAGAAGAAGATAAATCAAAACCTGCACTCAACAACCAATCAATCTACTCCTCCATTCTGCAGCTACCGCAGTTACTACATCAACTTCCACAACAACCACCACAACAACAGCAACAACATCTGGATTCGTTGTACAGTGCAACTTCAACGGAGCATCAACTAACAGCTGCAGAACTTAAAAAGCGCCAGGAACAGTTGGACAGGAGGGCAGAGGAACTACGGGAAAGGGAGAATGCCATGCAGAAAAACATGAGACTTTCATGTAGGTTGCATCATTCTGTTAGATCAAGATATCATTGTCTTAATCTTGAAATTTTTCACGAAACGCAGCTTCTGTATCTATCCTCTTACTGCATACAATGCAACAGTAACTTAATTTAAGTATAATACTTCACAAATGAAATCATCATTGAGTAGTAATTTGTAAAATACATTTTTAGATTGATTGTTCACCTCAAATTGTTATGAATCGTAATGTATATTGTTTACAACAGTTAGTATATACTTTGCAACAAAACTTAATTTGCACAATTTTTATCTCTGTCGCCATAGTCACGTTATCATCACAACCATCATATCATCATAATCATTACCATCATCAGAGTTGCTATCATTATCATCACAACCGCCTCATAAACGTCATCATTGTAGTTATTTCATTCACCACCATCGTCCTAATCGTGGCCATCAACTTAGTGACCATCATCTTCATCATCATCATCATCTAACACCGTCATCATAATCATCACCACTATGCTTATTACACCATGTAGCAGAATCGGTCAGCAACTTTCCACCTCTCCCTGGTTTCTGTCCAGTTCGACCTTGCTTCTACCAAGATGTTGAAGCCGAGATACCTGTGCACTTTCAGAGGCTGGTCAACATGATCTACTACTTCTGGCTCTGTTCGTTCTCTTGTTACTCAATATCTTTTGTTGCCTATTTTAATTTTTATTAATAATCTTCCTTACTTTTATTTCATTTGCTTGCCACAAATTTCTATGACATCAACTGTAAGCTGTTAAATAGAGTATGTAGTCTGTTTAGAAGGTTAAGTTGTAAATGCATTTTTTTGATGATGTTTTTGCCAGGATATCTATCGAAGAAGTATGAGGACATTTATGGGTAGTTGCAGATGTTATAGCTGATCTGTTTGCTGCTTGCATTGGTGTTTAATAGTTTTAATTTTAGCAATATTTTTGTTGGTGATATATTTTTAAAGGAATGATATTATCTGATAGAAAAAACAATGTTCTAAAGGTTATGTGATTTTGCTGGTATGGAACCTGGTCATGTGTCTTTCATACTTTGTTGTTACGGTGGAGTGCAACCTTCGCAATCATTCAGCTGTTAATTTCACTCTCTCACTCCTCAACCTCATCATCTTCACTCCTGCTTCTTATGTCTTCTGGTTCAGACCAGTTTACAGAGCTTTCAAGTCTGTACCGTTCTTAAATTTGAAATTTTGTTGTTTAAAATTTTTAATCAACCGTTATTTTTTTCTGTTTATTAAAATCAAAGTAATTATTTTATAAAACCTGCAAATAGTTAGTTAGTTACTTTGTTCTCAGACATTTCTTCGATTATCACTCAGCAGTTTTCTACCGAATCTAGTTGCTTATCATTTATAAAATTCAACATTTTTTCATCCGCTCATCATTAATTCTGTTAAATTGTATTGTATTGTATTGTATTGTATTGGAGATTTGTGGAGTCATCTTCAGAGTGGCTTTATGGCAGCCTAGTCAATAAATGAGTCGATTAATTTGTAGATTTTAATCACTAGATGGTCCAGCAATATTCAATCAAACGATCAATCAATCAACAATCAATCAATCAATCAATCAATCAATCAATCAATCAATCAATCAATCATATGTCTTTCAACAGATACGACAGTTCAATAAATTTCTTTGTCTTCTTCTTTGTCTTCTTTATGCAGTTCATAACGCTGTTGATGCAGTGCCTCGCTATTGATGGATGGGGATTCGCGTTAGTATTCTCTGCATGTGCATGTCTTTCTTCGTCTTTGTTTGCCTGTTTTTTGTGTACAATACGCTGATCATTTCTTTGTTTGTTTGATACCATTCAAATTATTTCTGGAAAATTTGAACATTTGAGTCGCTGGATATCTATACTTCCATATTATATTTTAAACTATAGTCTGCTCAAGCAGATGGTTAAACGTAGTGGTTATTAAGAGTTTGATGATGAATTAACACTCACACACATCAACACATCAACACTGCTACACATCAACACCAGGGGCATCTTGAATGGCATGGACCTCTTCACAGCTGGCTACAGAGCTGCCGCCATCGTTGGAGTCTTCATGTTTCTGACGGGAGTTGTATTTGCGATCATGTGTGCCTTCAACGTCATACTCCTGCTCAAGGTTTCATCTTGGTGTTTGTGTTCATTTTTTCAAAATGCAAATTAAACTTGGTAATTATTCAGATATGTTTAAAAAAGGACTTGGATGATCACACGCACATTGAGAAACACACTCACACACGCACATTAAGAAACACACGCATACACAATACACACACATACACACACAAAAATCAGCAGTTGTATCGAACATGAATGATCTTACACACACACACACACACACACACACACACACACACACACACACACACACACACACACACACACACTCATAAAGAAAAACATTTACACACTTACAGAAACACACATGTGCATACAAAAACACGCTACACACACGGAAACATGCAGAAACAACAGATACACACACAAACGTACAGAAACCCTTGGAGCACACACACAAACACACACACAAACTCAGGTGCACCAGTTGTATCGAAATTCAGGAGGTAGCCTGGAGAAGGCTCAGATAGAGTTCAGCAGCAGTGTGAAGGACCTGGCTGTTAACCAGGACAGTGCCAGTCAGTCACTGCTTCTCAAATGAGGCTCTCAGTTTGTTATCATTTTACAGATGGCTACATTAACAACAACTCTAATTGTTATCATCAGTTGGTCATAGCGATGCTATAAATAATGATAAGTGATAATTTGTTAGGAGCTGATTAACCATTAACAATTGCAGCAGTTTATAAATATTTTATTATTGTTAAATGTGGTGCCAGCAGTCAGTTTTTGATGATGCAGACCTCCATCAAAAAATTTTATTTGCTCTATCGCTATATTTATCACTTGGTGGAGGACATTATAAATACTCATTTATATTATCGAACATCTGTGTATCTAGTCTCTTGTTCTATGTGTTCATATGTTTATTGGACGAATCTGGTTGTTTGAATTGCATTATTTTATTCCCTTTACATGTTTATATATATATTTTTGTTATTTACACACCATTTTTTAGCGATATTTAATTAACTTATTTAAACATTCCACAACAAAAAATATTTACATCATTGTTTTACCATTTCTGCCTTCATCTTCTTCAAATTTTGAAAATTTTGTCTCTTTGAATTGAAGAAAGTTCAAACAGCTGTAAAATAAAAGTACTTAGATGGATACGTAAGGTTTAGTCTAGCAGAGAATGCTCAACAAATGTTGATGTGTAGGAATTCATAACGGTTCAAAACGACAGACACTAACTGGATTGCAGGCGTACTGTCCCGTCCTGTGCAGGCGAGTATTTTTCCAACGCACTGGAAATTTTAATTCATAAGTAACAGTCACATTCTTTCTGGATCTCGAAATGACTATGCATCTTCCACCAACATTCAATAAAGTTTGCCAGCATCGTCATGGAATGTGAGGCGAAGCTGCATACGTACTTTAGTAAATGTTTCAAAAGAAGAAAAAGAACTCGAGACATTTTAAAATGGGACTAAACTTTTTGCAGCATGAAATTTTAAAATACGACCAACCACTGTAAGTTCTTTTTCAGTCGCAAACAGCCTGTGATTTAACATTTGACAATGCATGAAGGTTGTTTTTAAAAACTTTCTTTTCATTCCAGCAAACGCAGCCACGCGAAAACCAGTAAGAAAGAAATTAGTTTTGTAAAGTAGATGAATTATGACTGATGCCTTGTGAGTGATGTTGGCTAGGCCCACCGCTTATAACTGTGGTTGCGTAAGGAAGGGCGTCCTGCGTAAAAATTAGCCAAATAAATTACTTATGATGAAATGGCGTCGAGGGGTATTTCGGTTTCATCATAGGTAGCCAAATGGCAACCCCCGATCTCGGGGAAAATGTCGTCTAAACGTGTGTTGTTGTTGTAAAGTAGATGAATTACCTAGCTCCGGCAGAATGTCTCCGCGATCAACTTTTCACTGCCGGCACGTCGCACAGATAATTTTTCGTAATCTGGGCAAATAATTTTGAAAATTTGTTGAAAGTTTTTTGAGCCATGAACGCAATTGTAAAACTGAGCCAACTAACGAATCGCACGAAAAACGCATTACTGTGAATGTTCGTTACTCTCAATGTTCTCACGTAGTTCGGCGTTGAACAGAGTTCGACGGCACCATGATCTGCTGTTCATAAATGAACACTCATTCATTAAGTAAATCAACTAATTTTTCTAATTCATTCATTTGCATGCTTTATTGGTTTTTCTCCAAATTCGAAAGTTAGTTGTCAATTTTCAACTCGTGGATGTTATTAATGTTTTTTAACTTTGTATCAAGATATAACCAGCCACGAATTATTCACGGCATAACGCAGGGCCGTGTAAGGCATCACAACATTCAAACGTAATCAAGATGGCAATCAATTGAAGGATACAAGTTTGATACATTATGCAGTTGCAGGTGTGAAAATAAAATATTATGTCCATTCTCCACATAAAAAGTAATTATTCTGTATATATGGTTATGTCTGTGTCCATGCATACGTCATGCAAGCCATTTTGGCCGGTTGTCAAGTGCAGGCGCAATCCATATATTCGCATCTATGCATTTGTCTTTTTATTGCTACGTCCTTATATTGCATGTGTATATATATATATATATTATAATTAATTAATTAAAATTAATTACATTATCTGTTAGCATCAAATACACAAATAATTAATTCCTCAATTCATTTTTAAACTTTGCCAGTTAAACAGATTGGTGCATTTATTCGATTGCTGCTTTTTCTCCATCACATAATTGAATTGAATCAAAATTTAATTTTTATCAAAATTCGATTGATATAACACATCTTCACGCAATCTATCCTGTCATGTTATGACCATAGACCTTCAATAACTCACAACCCACTTGAAAGATTGGAAAATTTTCCACTTATCATTATTATGGAAGCATCAGTTAGTTAGATGAAGATATCTCGCTGATCGCACGAACAATATTCTCATGAAAGGAACAAACGCTCAATGTAACTCCGCATAATCACTTTGTGCTAGGAACATTAATTACTTGATTGCCCGCTTAACGTGGCAGGCATATAAAGTAGCAGTAAATTGACGATGATGTGTGCAACTCGTGTTCGATTGGACTTTCAGAAATCATTTCTTATCCGATGATTAATATTGTCACAATCATTTTCTAGATTGAATCATTTCTGGATTCTCAAAATTTACAGACATTGTTTCATCTGTTGAGGACAATTATTACTAGCACCATGTTCAACAAATATTGCGGCAAATTGAAACTAATATTACAAAAGTTTATGAAATTTTTAATTTTAAAATTTGGTTTAATAACGTTGAAAGATTCACTATAGCTCCTTTACTTATTGTAAACAAATTTTTTCCAATGTAAATTTTCCTTTGTAATATGGCAGTGCAATTACCATATTTTGCGTAAGCAAACATACGATGTGCAATGTTTTAACCGTGTGTGCTCATTAGCTAACGCCCCAAAAAGTCTATAACCAGGTTCATGTACATCTATGTATACAAATGCATGCGTATTAGAGAGTATGTATGTGTGTGTGTGTGGTGTGTGTGTATGTGGTGTGTGTGTTTTCAGTTATACATGCATGCATGTAAGCTTAATGTTGGTGTGTGTATGCATAAAACCGAAAGAATCATAAAGCAGCCAAATACCTACCTATCAGTTACCGCTTAACGTACGCACACACATGTACACACAGACACGCACACACACACATATTCACACACGCACACACAGACACAGACGTACAGATGTATATAAACAACGTTATTAAACGTATTCATGAAACGTGATGCAATAAAAAATCTTATTGTCATGTTGCTGGCACGTCATGCATGCTGCTGTAATGGCATTATGGAATCTCCTGTTGTCTCCGTGTGATGTTGTTGTAGTTGTTGTTGCTGTTGTTGTAATGTTGTTGTTAAGATAGTTGTTGTTGTTAATGTTGCTGTTGTTGTAATGTTGTTGTTAGGTTAGTTGTTGTAGTTAATGTTGCTGTTGTTGTAATGTTGTTGTTAGGTTAGTTGTTGTAGTTAATGTTGCTGTTGTTGTAATGTTGTTGTTAGGTTAGTTGTTGTTGCGGTTGTTGTTGTATTGTTATTTTTCGGTTTGTTGTTGCTGTTGTTGTTGTCGATGTTAATGCCGTTGTTGTCGTTGTTGTTGTGTTGTTGATAATGATGACGATAATTCTAACGATTACGACACTAATAAAAACAACGATGATAATGATGAAATAGCTCTGCTGATGATGATGACGATTATGAAGAAGATGATGATGACGATGATGACGATGGTGATGAGGATGGTTCATTGCAGGAAGACGTAATAATGATTTAATGTTACTGAGGATAACTTTATGACGATGATGAAATGATGAAATGATGATACTGTTGAGGATATTATTTTTTGCAACAAGTTCGTTCATTCACGTTAATTTGTGTTAAATTATTAGGTTGGTGCAAATATAATGTCAGTTTTATGTTAATAAATTTTTCATCACTAAATTTTTAAATACAGTTTATTGAATATATTGATCATTATATATCATTTTGAAGGTTATTTATTCTTCTATCTAGCCTTTATTAATTAATTGGTCCAACTATTCAGTGTCTTTGATTTTGAGCGATATTTGAGAATGTTGTCTAAGCGTGATTTGATGATTACAACAACACAGCTTGTTTGATTGAAAACAAGGTAGGAGCAGGATTTGCGTGTTATTGCTCATTTATACTCATTTATATATAGCTAAAATTAAAAGAACATAATATTATAAACGCTAACAATAGGGATGGCGACGACTGACTACAAAAACGTTGTTGGTGGTAAGTAGCCCGACGTTCCGATCCTCTAACTTTGCAGGACGGTCTCACTTCCTGTGCAGTTGAGGAATGTGGTTCCAGCCATCACTAGACAAACATGACTTAAAAAACAGCTTGAAGTATTATTTCAAAGAGGCTCACCCTAAGATCTTTGAGAGAAGGTTGCAAATAGAGACGGATAGAGATACCGATAGAAAGACCCATACAGATACAGATCCGGATGCCGACGCAGATACATACACATACACAGATACAAATCCAGATACAGATGCAGATACAGACACAGAAACATGTACAGATGCCGATACAGATACTGATACAGATACAGATACCAAAACAGAATGCGAAGACGTTGGTGATTATGAAGATGATGAAGATGACAATTATTGTAGAGGATGACAATTATTAAGATAATGACAGTGATGACGACGACGATGATAAATGATAATGAAGATGATGACGATGATGACTAAAATGATGATTAAAAAACTTATAATGATGATGAAGATGATGACTACGCTGATGACGATGACTTTTTAATGATGTTTTTACTCGCCAGCCAGCATCTGTTTGTCTTTCTGCTAATGATAGCACAGTAGATGCTAATGTTCCTTGCCTCACAACTCGCGATGTCTTAAAATTCAAATAACCATGATAAGAATGATTGCAGTGATGATTACGTGACATCCTATCTAGAAGAGGTTTAACTTGTTTTTTTAAATTATTTTAACGTAGAAATGTAGCTGAAATAAAAAAAACTACTACTATTACTACTACTACTACTACTACTACTACTACTACTACTACTACTACTACTACTACTACTAGGACTACTACTAGTCTACTACTACTACTACTACTGCTACTATTACTACTACTACTACTATTGCTACTACCACACTACTACTTCTACTACTACTACTAATAATAATAATACTAATAATATTAATTATACAAAATTCGCAGTTTATGCAAGAAAGTTATAAAATAAAACAAATCTCATAAGCAACAATGAAATGCGATACTTTTACAACTATTTAGGATAATTATTAATACAGCGAGAAAAGTAATAACGTAATAATGAAAGCCATTTTTCATCATAAAAATGCACGTAAAATTCATCTGAGGAATTTCTTTCCAATTGAGTACATGCAGCATTCACGCACGTGCATGCATTCACATGCACATTCACGCACGTGCATGCATTCACATGCACATTCACGTACTGGACGACTGCAAAATTCATGCCAAATAAAATAACCATTACTAAGATTGCATTTTGCTTTATGGGGGATGACTGTATTCAAATCATCTTTGTCCTTGGTTGCACGTTTTGCAGTTGTTCTGATGTTGTAGTTGCTGACGTTGTTGATGTTGTATCTGCCGATGCTGTTGCTAATGTAGCTAATGTTTTAGCTGCTGATGCTGATGATGATATTGGCCCCCGTCAAAGTGGTCTAGATCGGCCACCGACTGTTTGCATTGCGGTGTTGTTGTCTTGCATTCGATGTAACAACGTGTCATGTCGTGATGTTGTTCGTTTGTTTTTGTTTCGGGAGTTTGTTGTTTGCGCAGGTCATTATCTTTCATATTTTATTAGATCTTCATGAATTTTTTATTGTTAATGTTGATTATTTAGATTATTTTTATGATTCATGGATGTTCTGTTCATGTTATGATTATATTTATATATAAAACTGATTTTGTGTACGTACGTACGTACGTACAGCGTATATATGAAGAAAGCAAAAACCTGTTTAATCGGGCCACAGTAAAGATTGCTGTCTAGGGCCAATGAGATGCAGACTATTTTTCAGCATTACGTACTTCAAAACTTGTTTCAAAAAGTGACAAAAATGTCTTTACTATCGAAATTACATTTCGTTATGTAAGAAGAAGTAACCAAATAAATTAATCCGCTTAAATGTTGTGTAGCTTTTTGAATCCTGTTCAAGTTTGAAAAACAGTAGAGTAGAAGAAAAAACAATTTCCTTGAAGATGATCCAAAAACAAAGCTGAATACAAATTACAGCTTCAAAAACTAATGTTGCAATTACTAGCAGGTAAGTTGTTGAACGCACAAAAATGTACACTTTGATTTAGAATATTATTTTATGTGCAGATTTTTTTGTAGTGTTGATGTGGTGTTGATGTCATTGCATCTGCTGATGGAATTGTTGTTGCAACTGTTGCTGTAAGTATTGTTGGTGTTAATGTAATTATTGTTGTAGTTATTGTTGTAATTGTTGCTGTAACTGTTGTCAATAATTTTTTATATTCAAGTCTAAATTGTAAATTAACAAATTAATCTCTGTATTATTGAAGCATTTTTTTTAGACTTAGTTGTCTTTTGATCATTGCATTTATATTTTTGTTTGGAGTAACAGCCCAAATCAATAAAAAAAAAAAATTTGGTTATTAAGGCCTGCGCTTAATTGGTTCGAGCTTTCCTGGTCTGAAAGTGGTACAATTAACCGGGATCCACGTGCAACAAGTCAGATTTTTGGTATAAAAATAAAATAACTGTTATAAATAAAACGTTACAAAAAATAATAAAAATACAGCATACAACAACAACAATAATAATAATACAGCAACAACATCAACAATAATAAAAAGTTAGTTGTGCCCAATGAAAACAAATAATTATGCGTTTCTAAAATGATCAATCACATTGTAAATGAAACCGAACATGTCTGCAACAACAAAATAACAAAAATAACAAAAGCAACAACAACAGCAATAATAATATATTTATAACCACAACAGCAGCAACAATAACAACATCAACAGCAACAATAACAACAACAGCAACAACAACAACATAATCAACGCCTGAATAATGACGATGTTGATGACGTCAATGATGGTGGTGATGACGACTACGACGATGAGGATGATGACGATGACATAAATATTGATCAAAATACTGATGATGACGTCATTTCCTATATCGATGTCATTCATGATGGTTTTGATAATGATAACAATGACAACAACAACAACAACAATAATAATAATAATAAAAATGATTATGATGATGATGATAATGATGATGGTGATGATGAAGATAATGACGATGACGATGATGATAATGATGGTTATAAAATTGGTGCTGATGATGATAATGACAAAATGGAATTATATGTTTGCATTGCATGTCTACTAATGTCGCAGAGTAGTTTTGTTGTGTTGATGTCATTGCAACTGCTGATGTAATTGTTGAAGTAAGTATTGTTGTTGTTAATGTAATTATTGTTGTTGTAAGTGTTGTTGTCTGTGTTTTTTTCTGTGTTGTTGTCTGTGTTGTTTTCCGTGTTGTTGTCTACGTTTTGTTGTCTGTGTTGTAGTAATTATCGTTGTAATGGTCGTTGTAATGATTGTTGTAAGTGTTGTAATTGTTGTTGTAATATCTGTTGTAATTGTTGTTGTTACAATTTTGCGGTTGCGGTTGTTTGTTATTGTAATTATTATAACGTCATTAATTGATGTTAAACTTTTTAAAAAGTTTTTTTACATTTTGTTAGGGCAAAATAATTTTGTTGATAAAAATTTCAAATTACAGCTGATACTTAAAAAAAAAGATGTTTATAATTTTGATGTTTTTAACAATGCAGTCTTCTTTCCATGTGAATATAAACACGTTTCATCTTATGAGCGAACATGCTGCTACTTATTAAAATACAGAGCATTGTGCAAAAATTTAATATAAATGTTTTGTAGTAGCAGTAGTAGTAGTAGTAGTACTAGTAGTAGTAGTAGTAGTTGTTGTTGTGCGTGATAGTTGCTGGCGCTGCTTGTAAAAAACAGAAAAGCATTGAGGTTGGAGGATTTGCCAAAGTGGGAAATTGACAAATGATGGAAGAATGAGTGAATGTGAAAAATGAGCAAAACATAAAAGTGAGTGAGTTGATGAAAATAAATGTCAACTAAAGATTTTCTTCAAAAAATAAATTTGAGTCAATAAAATAACAGCTGCATCAGACAAAAAGTTTAAAAATAGAACTCAATCAATCACCTATTTGTAATTTGCAAACAGAAAACAATTAATTTTTCTGTATGATTTTAACTACTTGACTATTTTAGTTGATACCAAGTGACATCTTTCTGTCAGTGTACTCTAGTACATTTACACTAGAATGTGTACTTAACATCAAAGTTAAACTTGAATAATTGTGCCTGAGTTCATCGTCGTCTTTATAACTGTCATCACCATCACTGTCATCATCGCTGTTATAACCTTTTTTATTCATCGTTTCATGATTACAATCACCATCTTCATCATCGTCTGCATCACCGCCATCACGTTGACACTTGCAGCCTGAGGAATCGTATGAAATGCACCTACAAATAGCGGACCAACATCAATAAAAATTAGTTCAGGAAGGTGAACATCTTCATCGTGAACAGTTTGCGTTTGTTGGCTTTGTTTTCTGGGTTCGTTGTTTTGTTTGCTGGGTTTGTTGTTTTGTTTGCTTGGTTCGTTGTTTTGTTTGCTTGGTTCGTTGTTTTGTTTGCTGAGCTCGTTGTTTTGTTTGCTGGGTTCGTTGTTTTGTTTGCTGGGTTCGTTATTTTGTTTGCTGGGTTCGTTGTTTTGTTTGCTGGGTTTGTTGTTTTGTTTGCTGAGTTTGTTGTTTTGTTTGCTGGGTTCGTTTTTGTTGTGCTATTGTATTTTTTGTTGTCGATGCTCATCAAGCTTTCCGATTCAGTTAGAAACCTTCATTTGTTTTTGTAAAACAAAAAAAATAATTAATATATAAACTACAAATTATTGAATGGATGAATGAAAACAAAATGAGAGAGGAAAACACATGAGCGAACAAACGTGCAAGCAGGAGACAGTACAAACAAAACACGCCTTTCTTGAAGTATGTTCATGGTTATCCGACGGACTGCAATGCTATGGAAGGAGTTAATCACAGCATTAATCATTCTATACACAGTGCGCACATTAAAACGTTGATCATATGCATTCATTAACAAACAATTACATAGTTACATACATTACTCATCTACCTACAAATATATAAACACACATACAAATACACATCCAAATACACACACATGCACAAACCTGTGCAAACAAACATGACGTCATAGAGTCACGTGACACCGGAGCACGCGCGAAGCACTTAACAGGAAAAGATGCAATATGCACGATCCATTTATCAAGCGTAAAGATGTTTAAATTTAAACAATTTTTCACCAAACTTTAATGTCCGACTCGTGTCATAGGTCCATGCCGTGCATACAAATTCTACACGATGAACTAGTAACATATCTCCATATCTCAAGCACGGTACACACAAACACAAGCAAACCTACGTGTCTTCTACTTATATTGCATTTATATAACACGCAAGCTTATAAGTTGCCATAACACAGATACATACATACATTGCAACAACAAATACATACATACATTGCAACAACAAATACACACATACATCGCAACAACACATGCAATATACATACGTACATTACACAACATACATACATTACAACAACACATACACACACACAGACGTGTACATGGAGTGAGCAAGTTGATATAAAACACACACAGCACAAACACAAAAATGAAGATACACGTATATGCATGGCATTGTTTTATCTAAAGAATGAAAGACTGGATGATGATGGATTGAGATGGAGGAGGTGCAGCATTAAATGCAGCCAAATTTCTGCTAGCTTCATAAAACAATTGCCAGTAACACAATTAGGCAGAACAGATGCGTCCCATAGCATTGATGGAAGAATCCCAGCACGCTAACAACCATTTTTTCAAATCATCATAACTCATTCGGCGTGTCCAAGATATCAGAATATCATTTCTTCTTTACAATCCCGCTAACTATTCGAGAATTGTTTGATTGTTTGGCTTTTGTTTCAAATAGTCATTAATTGTATTTAGATTTTTCAAATATTTTTTTCACGAGTCTCTCTTTATTATTTTTCAGAGGTATCACCAACAAATACACAACAAATACACCACGTGAATCAAACTCAACGCACGTCGTAGGCCTGGATATCTTCACATTCATGTCTAGTCACTGCTATAGCCATACCAAAAACTTTTACCATGACTTGAGTGTCCGAGTCGTAGAGAAAATATCCTATTAGGACACCGACATTCTGACCATACTACTACTGCGCCGTCAATAAAAATGGTAAAAAAATATGAAATCAAACAAACTAAATCAATCTATTCATTTTACAAAAATGAAATGATAAGTTACTTAAAACTTGGAATAGAATGAGACGTACATCTTTATAATCATTTGTGATTAGTGAAAGACGGCGTTATTATCAGGCACACACACTGAAAAAGAACTTTAACTATCTGATGACCGTCAGGATGAATGTCAAGCACGCGTGCTGGTTTGATATCTATATCTTGTTACATTGCTGCCTCTGAGTTTCATTCAACTACTCACTCGTATCTCATTTTTGAAAATTTGTTAAAAACAACAAAAATAAACTGAAATTTTTTATTTAGTTATATCATCATTCAGTTGGCAATCAGCACTATCAAAAGTGCCAAAAATTTTTTGAGAACCTTAATAAATTGTTTTGATTGATTTTTTGAGGCACCCAATATGACATGTAGAAACAAATTTATATTCGTCACTTTGAATAAATTTTATGAAAGATTTAAAAAAATCAGTTTTAATTTTTTTACGTAAATATTTTGATCTGAACAAATTTCGCTTGTATTAAAAAAAGACCAGCCTCCCAAAATTTAATTTTAAGGTTTTCAAGTTTCGTTTGTTGAGGTGCAGCGATGAGAATGAAATATTGTGCATAACAAGATTTGACAAGCCTCGTCAAATATTCAAATTCCATTTCGAATACACAACATTTTTTTTGAAAACTCAAAAACTAGCAGTGAAAATGAAAATAAATTTTTTTGTTCTTGATGATTTATTTAATCGAAATTTTATAAATTCATATTAGCAAATTTCGTGTAAAATTTGTATTTTTTGACAAAAATGTAACAAAGAAATAACATCAAACATCGCTTCACATGAGCTTCATAACATCATCATCTTGCAGGACAACATTCCTCGGTGAAGCTGCATAATGATCTGTTAACTTTTGAATGAGTTACGCCTAGGAATCTCCAATACATCCAATCTGGGAAACGTTCAAGGCAGTAAAACTGAAGGAAAAATGATTGATAATATTTACCAAAAAGTGATTTGAATTGTGTGAAAAGGTTCCAGATAGATATTTAGGTATATCTGGCGAAATAAGGAATCAATGAAATGTTAGACGGATATGACAATAAATGAAGAGATAGATAGGGAGAGCTGAACGAAGAGAGCCGACGTAATGATAAATGAACGTTTCAATAGCTCTGCGTGTTTTCAAGGCAAATTGTCACGTCATTAATCATAATGCAAAAAATTGATGATTGTATCGGAAGTTTTTGAGCTTTTGTTCTATTAAAGAATTTATTATTATCTGAAAACTTTCATAAAAAATTTAACTTATTAATATTAATCTGGTTGAGCAATAATTAATTTTACTGGCGTTTCAGAGTTGAGTTTTGTTACATTTGAAACAAATTCAAACATAACAGACGCTCAGAAAAATACGCATAGATGTTTAAATAAAACAAAAACGATGATTTGACTGCAAAACAAAAATAAGCCAATGATCAGTTATTAACACTTTTGATGTTTATGTTTATTTTATTTGAAATAAAAACTAAGCAAAATTGGTCAACAATAAATGCTGAATGAAAAGCAGCACAAGACAAAACACTAATCCCAGCTGAACGTGGGAGCACGAGGAAAGAGAGCATTACTCTCCAGGGTCTGACAGTGTCATGCCCCACAAAAAGAACACAACACGTATGAGTTATCGAATGTCCTTAGTTCATTCTGATAATTTATTCAAATGTATTTTCATCGCTGGCTTATGTTTGCGTAGTTCCTTTATTACGTCGACTATATAAAACTCTGTGTTCGTGTTTGTGTGTGTATGTATGTATATATGTACGTACGTACTCACGTATGTATGCATGTATGTATATATGTGTGTAAGTATGTATGTGTGTATGTATGTGTGTATGTATGTATGTATGTATGTATGTATGTATGTATGTATGTTAAAACCAAAACATGATGAGTGACACTGAACCGTCAAACATCGAGTAACAAATGGATTAACACTTTGATTTGTCGTTAATTGCACATGTCGGCATTCAGTTGGATATTTTCAAGCACACAGACACGCAGGAACCGCTGCAACAAGCACGAAATGTGGTTGGTTGCAAAAAACAGTTCCCTGCTGTCACCTGATCTGACACTGATCATTTTGCCTATTTCCTTAAGAAATTTAAAGGTGTTGGGGTCCATCGGGCCGAGAACCTCGATGCATATTGGCAAGAATTCCATCGAGGGGAGGGCATTCCCATATTTTTTCATTTTCTCGTCCGCTGCCCTGGCCGCGGCCAAACCGCATTCTTTACTTGTCAGGTTTACGTATCGTTTGGCGAGGGTGCCAGGGACCGTAACATCCCACGCCAAACATCTGCCGGCTCTTCAAGGTATTAGCGTGCATCCGTCCGGTCGCCTACCATCATGCGCAGAAATGCCGGATGGTTCCTTGAGAACCGGGATTGAAGCCTTGGAGAAGAGCCGACAAATGTAATCTGAGTGACGTAGTTGACGGCCCCCACCCAGGCGACAAACCAAACCGTGGTGCCCAAACTCGTCCGCCTCAGCGCCACATCGGCACGTGTATTTATTCTGAATGACCAGGCCAAGTCTGAAGCCAATGGCAAATCTTACAGACTCGTCGTCAAGCCTGGTGCCCACAGAGGTGTTAGGCCACGATCTCAACCACCCACAGCTGGCAACGCTGGACATGGCCAACAAACGAGCGGTGGAAAAGTCGTCGCCGCATGAAGACAACAAATTTTGAAAGATTTTTTTATATTCTTCGTTCAAAATTTGGACGTGCGTACGGTCCCCCGGGGCGAACGCTGGGGGAAGAATATCGCGGCAACGAAAAAACCGGTGGAGCATGGAAGACTGTAGGTCGAGAGTGGCAGCGGCAGAAGAATTATAAACAACGGGAGCCAGCTGAACCACGCTAAGCAACCCCAGCCCACCAAATCGCACCGGCAGCTGAGCCTGGGACCAACCACTGTCGGTCACTTGAACATTGCAAATCGACGACAGGGCGGTGCGCAGGGCTCCGTCAAATTCGCCCAATTTAGAAGGGTCAATGTGTTTAGATGTACGCAGGAAGTACATCAATTTGGGCAAACTGAGGGCATTGCGGATAATAGTCAAGGCATCATGGGCCGAAAGACAGGAAACACGACCCAGGGCGAATTCAAGCTCAGAGAGCTTTTGGTCAAAAAACTTTATTTGATAATCGCCCTCGACCAAGGGTGTGCCTAAAAAACTCAGTTCTGATGCACCAACTCTGGGTATTTCAGCCAGCGCATGTGGCACCTGAAATAAACTTTGGCAGTGAAGTTCGCATTTTTTAATGTTTAACTCTAAGCCAATTGCAGCGGAGTTATGCTTCAAATATTCGTAGCTATCGGCCAGAGTTGGACCGTCCGAAGCTATGCTGATATCATCCAGATAAGCGCAAACGAAGGTGGACGAAGCTTTCTCTAAGAGTGGATGAAGAGTTAGTGCGAACAACAAAGGACCAAGGGGATCACCCTGCTGTACCCCCTCGGACGAT